GGCAAACCTCACACTCTTGCCGGACACAGTGCTGCAGCTCTCCCAGCCTTGGGCCCAGGGCCATTCGTGTGGGAAAATCTCATCTGTAGCTTGATGCAAGGCACCGGGAGAAAGGGTGCCTGGGAGTCCTAGAGGGGTACAAATAGGATTGGCTGAAAATGTTGTCAGTGTTTCAAGAGATGGTAACAGTGCCCCAAGAAATGAGGCCAAAAAAAAAAGTGGTGAGGGTGGGGGGCAGCGGCGGGGGCTGTCCTGTTTGGACTGAGTGAGTGCTGTGCCTGGCGCTGCTTCCTTTTGGCACTATAGTTCGTGTTTTAGGTTTTTGGCTTTTTTTCCCCTGTACATTTTGTTCAGCTTGACTCACTTTTGAGCTTTGAGCTCTCAGCAAATCTTTGATCTTTTGAACTTCACCTTCAGTTCTCACCAAATGGACTCTGTGGACAAGGAGGACATTCCCACATTTGCACCGCCAGAGGGTCTTCCAAACATTTGGAAGCTGGCTTCCCGGAATTGTCTTGCGTTGGGGGATGCTCACCCTACCCTGGTTTGAATTTTAAAAAGAGAGAGAGAGAGTCAGGCTCAATCATATCCTGAATCTTTGATTCAAGCATCAGAGACAGATGTCAGTCTTCCCATTGTTACATCTGAAACAATCAAGCAAACACAAATGAGTTAAAAAAAATACACCTCTCCCTGGTCCCTGGGCCCTTCAGGGGAAGGCAGGAGTTCAGAGCTGGCTCACACTCCTCTGAGAACCATCCCTGGCCTGGCCTGGGCTTCCCCAAGATTTCCTGGGGAAATCCCCACAGACAATGCCCCCACTTCTCCGCTTCTCCAGGTAAGCAGTTCGTATCTGATTTCATTCTGAAATGCTCTGGACCAATAGGTAACATGATGATAAATGGAGACAAGATTGAAGCTGTCAAGGATTTTGTCTTGCTGGATCCACAACCGATGCTCAAGGAAGCAGCAGTCAAGAGACCAACCCACGCACCGCATCAGGTAAATCTGCCGCACAAGACCTCTTCGAAGTGATGAAGGGCAAGGAGGAAAGGTTACTTTGAGGACTAACGTGCGCCTGAGCCCGGCCATGGTATTTTCAACCACCTCCTATGCATGTGAAAGTTGGACATTGAATAAGGAAGATGAAGAAGGATCGGTGCATTTGAAAGATGGTGCTGCTAAAAACAATGAGAGTAACACAGGCTGCCAAAAGAGAAAACCCATCTGTCTTGGAGGAAGGACAGCCAGAAGGCTCCTTAGAGGCAAGGATGGACAGGCTTTGTCTCACATACGTAGACATGCTGTCAGGAGAGACCCGTCCCTGGAGAAGGACATCATGCTTGGCAAAGTGGAAGGGCAGCGAAAGAGATGAAGGCCCTCCACAAGATGCATCAGCAAGGAGGTGCCACCATGGGCTCAGACGTAAGCATGATTGAGAGAAAGGCCTGGGACCGACCAGGCTCAGCTGCTGTGAGGCAGAACCCGCCTGACGGCCCCTCTGAACAGCCAGCAGCACTCAGGAGGGTGTGACCGCAGGCTTGAACTTTGCATGCAAGTTGTCACAGCCCACCTGCATCTTTTTCCCGGGTGGGACCAAGGCTCAGAGAAGACTTGGGTGGGATCCAGACACGAGACCTTGCTTAGGATGCCTGCTCTCTCTACAATACTCGGCAAAGCAGAGAGAGGGTCAGCAGAAAGCAGGGGGCCCTCAGCGAGATGGATGGACACAGCGGCTGCAGCAATGAGCTGAAGCAGAAGAACATCCATGAGGATGGCGCACGGGAGCAGGCAGTGTTTCTTTTCCTTCTGTTGACCTCAGAGTGGCGAGTCAGAACCGGCCCAGTGACATCTGATAACCACCACACTAAGCCCAGACCCCCTTCAATACATTTCAGTGACTGACCCTTGTTTCCTACCACTGGTGGTGAAGGTGGTTGGATGATGCACAAAGCCCCTTGCAAATGACCAAGGGAAGTCGACTGGGTTGAGTGAAGCCAAAGGCCAGTGAGAAGATTATCTCACTAATGTCTGCAATTGTAATAATGACCAAAGTATCATCCTCCAGAACTCAAAGCTCCCTGTCACCTAAGACTCTCCCCTTTCCCCAAGGAAAGAACCGTCCCTTTGATGGGAGTTTGGGGGAGCTTGCTTGCGTGTCGATCTGTTTCTCTTTTGGGTTTGAAGTTATGAAAGATACTGTCTTAATCTGAGATCAGACACGGAACCCCAAGCCCCTCTACAGATGATCTACTTCAAGATTCCATTACTGTCACAGCAGGTGCCCTGGTGGAGCAGCGGTTAAAGCTCTCGGCTTCCTACACGGAGGTTGGTGGCTGAAACTCAAGGCAGCTCTCGGGAGAAAGATGAGGCAGGCAGCTCCCATGGGGATTAGGAGTCAGAATCAGCTGGGTAGCAGTGGGCTCGCTTTCGGGTTTCTTATTGTCATGGAGAAGGAGCCCTGCTGATGGTTTTCTGGGTTGGGCTGGTAACCAGAAGGCCAGCAGTTCAAACCCACCAGCCACTGACCATGAGAAGGAGGAGGCTGCCTGCTCCTTTAACTACTTACAGCCCCAGAAACCTACCCGCAGGGTGGCTGTGAGCCAGAATGGACTTGGTGAGTGTGAGTTAATAGTCACAGATGATAAATGCTGGGCCTTTCTTCCAACACTTGCCTTTGTCGGGGTGGGGTTGGGGGCGCTTCTACAATGCCGGCGGCCCAGCTACTGCTGCAGGCTGGTCATCCTTCTACCAGGGGAGTGGCTGCAGAAATAGGAACCTTGGGGCAGGATAAGCCTGGGGCAGGGATGGGGCTCAGGACAGGGGCGGCAGGTGGACTCCTAGAGCCACAGCCAAGTGGGGAGCCCTTCCCCTGGGAGAATGGGGTGGCCGCCTGCAGTCCCAGCTTCCCGCGGGGGGGTGCAGTGTGGGTGCAGGGCAGGTGCAGCAGGAGAGCTGTGCTGTCTGGAGGGAGGTGAGAGCAGGGGTGGGGTGGGGAGTGGGGCTGTAGGTGCCTCTAGGCAGAGGAGGGAACCTGTCCCACTGACTTGCAGCAGGGCGATACCACAATCACAAGCCTTTTACTTTGGGGGTGGGACTGCGTTTAGCCAGGAAGGACAGCAACACACCATGAAGACATTGTCCGGGTCATTCAGGCCAGTGCCCTCGCTCAGTGTTGCCAAACGCAGTGTCCTCAGGTCCAATCTGGCTCACGGGGACACGACCGGATTCCCAGGCAGGGCAGAACTGGCCCGGAGAGTAATCTTTATGGAGCCAAAGAGCATCCTCTTTCTGGCAGGTTCCAACCACCAACCTCTGTGAGCAGCCTAGCACTTAACCTCCTGGGCCACCAGGGCTGGTCCTCCTTCGCCAGTGGAGTCAAAGGAGGTCGCAAGAGCAAGCGTGGGAGCCGGCTGTGCTCAGGACGACAGGGTTGGGAGGAGCTGGAATTGACTGGGTAGACTGCAGGACTGCAGACATCAGTGCCCGGGAGGGCTGACCAGGAACAGGGCGAGGCCTCTCCTGCTGCAGCCCTTTCCCAGGACCTGTACTTAAGTTGATAGTTGGTGTTTGGGGCTCTTCTTCTTTCTTTTTTTTTACTTCTGCCTGAAAGAGGTCCTGCAAATGTGCCTCGGTTTCATGCCTTAAAGAAGCTGGATCTGCCCTTTATAAGAAGCCAGGCCTCTGACTGCAGTCCTCACACACATCTTGGACTCTGTCTAGTCACTGGGCAGGTGGGAAGTGGGCACGGAGAGGCTCCCGCCCAGGCTGTGGTGGGCTGAAGTGTCCCACCCCATTCCACCTCGTCATCCCCAATGGGTCTTTCTCAGGCACCCTGAGGCCTTCCTGGGTGACTCAGTTTCCCACGGTGATGACCTGGTTCCGATTCATTTCTCCATCTGCCCAAACCCCACTGGCATCTCTGACACATTCTGGCACTTACTCATGCTGGTGACTCAGCGTGTCCTGAACCTGATGAGTCCGTGTCAGGGGTAGACACCTGACAGCCCAGCTCACCAATGTCTGGAACCTAGAAGGGGGCCTCCTTGGGCCCCCCAGACCACCTTTCTGAGCGCTGGAATTTCTCCAGATCTCCCCAGGGGTGTCCCAGCCAGGAGCATGTAGGGATTACAACAACTGCCAGATGACTCCATCCACTGACTCCTCACCTGGAATGTGGGGCTCCAAGGTCTACCCCTGGCAGATGGGGGGACCCACCTGGGGCTTGCTGATTTTAAGGCCTACCATTTCTCCCAAGAGGCACCCTGGTGTTCCGGGCACCAAATGCCCGGGATGCTGGCTAGTCACTATGCAAGCGACAACGTGGCACTGTTCCTGGCGGAAACACACTCACGTCTTGCCACGGCTCCTCTCCTTTCTAGACCACGGGCTTCCCTCTTAAACGGCACCAAGCGAGGAGAACACTTAGGATTTCTCTTGCCACCCCAGCCCATGACCGATCATGATGGATTTGTGCTTTGCTGAGCCTCAGAGTCAGTGCCTCTCAGGCCTGGGGGTGGTGCTCAGCTGTCACTCATCAGAGCCCACCCACACATCACCAGCAGGGACCAGAGCCTAGAGAAGGGCATCATGCTGGGTCAAGTCGAGGGTCAGCAGAAAAGAGAAAGGCTTTCCAGGGAATGACGGACACGGTGGCTGCAAGAATGGGCTCAGGCACAGCCACAGGTGAAGCTGGCCAGAACCTGGGGGATGCAGGAAGCTGCTAGGAGTTTAGAACCAACCACCACCACCTCCACGGCCTATGCCTTCATAGACGAGGGACCCACCAGGCTTAGAGCAAGGACCTAGCATCGTCCCCTGCGGCAGTGTCCTGGTGTGGGTATCCTTACGACGCACCCTCCTGCACGAGATGATGTCACCCAGCTTCATCTCACAAACTCGCCTGGCCCCAGCTCAGGGTCATCCCAGCCCCACCCCCTCCCTCCTCCCCGAAGCCCCCTCCTCCTTCCCCGTGAGTAAGCGCTCACCCTGTCCCCCAGGCCTGGACAGTGACTTTCTGGCTGTGCTGAGTGACTATCCGGCTCCTGACATCAGCCCGCCCATATTCCGGTGCGGTGAGAAGCTCCGCGTCATCTCCGAGTGAGTCTTGTTTCCAGTGCTCTCGGGGTGCTCAGAAGAGGGTGCGCTCGGCTGGGGTGGGTGGCTGGCCTTTAGTCCGGGCTGTGCCATTCGCAGGCGCCCTGATCCCTGGCCTTCTTTCTTAATGTTGCCAATGCTGCAGCCTCCCTTGGCTCCCCACTGCTGGGCAGAGAGCATGGCCCATGACTCTCTCTGTGGTCAGGAGTCTGCTTTTCCCTTACCGCCCACCCCAATGAGCTCGGGAAGGGGAATATCTGTTCAATGATGATAATAATGATAGCCCAGGAAAAAGAGAATGGAATTTTTCCATATACTTTTCAATGTCCCCTCGTATACTTGAAGACTAAACTTCACGTGGCCAATGACAGCTCCCATAAAAGAATGACCCCCGCCTGCCCCTGTCCATTCATTCTAATGAATGAGAAGATCCATCTGTCATTGAGGATGCTCACTTATTTGCTCTGCCTTCTGACCTGGCTCTGTCCCCATCTGCTCTGTCCCTCCAGCGAAGGGGGCTGGTGGAAGGCCATCTCCCTCAGCACCGGCCGAGAGAGCTACATTCCTGGAATATGTGTGGCCAGAGTCTACCACGGGTGAGTACAGCCCTCCAGTCTCATCAGGAAAAGATGGCATTACAGAAACAGGGATGGCAGCCTGGGGTCCCTGGGCCTCCAAGAGACTGTCCCCACTCTCAGCCCCACAGCGACACGGACAACCTTGGTCTACTCCATCCCTCCCTGAGACTCTATGAGGAATGACCTTGGGCTAATGCTCTCCCTTTCTGAGACTCAACTTCCCCATCAATAAGACGGTGGTAGCTGGACCTTCCAGATACAGGGGTTCCAGGCACAAACCAGTAACCCCTAGGAGATGCCCCCATAGGATGCAGGGCAGCTCTCAGACCTTGTCTCTGTCCCCTACAGCCTCAGCCCCCCCAGCATCCTCCACATCAGCTCCCTTTCCTCGCGCATCAGCGCGAAGTTTCATGCAGCATGGTAACTCAAAAACTGCCCACCACTGAGTCGATGCCGACTCACGGCGACCCTATAGGACAGGATGGAACTGTCCCTGTGCGTTTCTGAGATGGAAACTCTTGACAGTGGTAGAAAGTCTGATCTTTCTCCGACAGAATGGCTGTTGGTTGCAAACTGCTGACCTTGTAGTGATCAGGCCAATATCATTACGAGCAATGATATTCAGGGAAAACCCAGGAATGTTAGCGCCTGAGCACGAAGGAAACCTGACTGAGATGGAAAACTCAAGTATTTCCCACCAACAGAGAGCGATGGGAAAGTGAGTGCTTGCACCCTGCCAACATGACAACCTGCGACACCCGGAAACAGGACCTAAGGACATGTTTCTTGGCAGCACGAGACAGGACCCGATGCATGTGTCTGTCCAGCTTGGGATATCGGCCGGTACCGCAGCACTCAGAGGCACTGGTAGCACTCAGCCAATGCTCGCTGGCTCCTCCGGATCCACTCGGCAGCAGTGGGGTTGCACTTAGGTGCAGGTGCGGCTCCCCAACTCCACAACGGAGGCAAACGCACTCGCACGCGGTTCTGGCTCCCCGGTGCATATGAACTCAGCGCTGGCCCTGCGCAGCAGTCTGCAAGGAGTGCGGTAGCATGGTGGAGAAGCTGGACATTGTGTGGGAGTGACCAACTTGAGACACGGAGACTTGGACTCAGCCCAGGCGGATGGCGAGGCGGCGCGGCTCACAGAAATGGCCGGTGGCCTTGGGCTGTGTCTGGTACTACATGGCGGCCCTCTGGGGGTCCCCGGTTAGTGTCAACTGCTAGACGCTACCTCATGAACCACAAGGTGAGGGTTCAGGTCCACCCAGAGGTGCCCTGGAATAGAGGCCTGGCAATCTACTTCTGAAATTCCAGTCCCTGAGAAACCTCCGGAGCTTAGGCCTGCTCGGCATCCCTGGGAAAGCCAAGGCCACGGCAGCCAGGAGGCTGGTGCCCAAGCCCAGAGTAGTCAAACCGGTGCCGGGAAGAGCTGACCCCACTCAGGGAGACCCTACTACTTGGGGTGCCCAAGGCTGTAAATCTCAGCAAGAGCAGACAACCTCATCTTTCTCCTGAGGATTGGATGGTGGGATTGAACCTCCGACCCTGCAGTGGTCAGCAGCCCAAAGACTCACCCTTCATCGGCCAGTCACGGAAACGCTTGGTCCCCCAGCCCAGCTGCTCACCGATCACCTGCTTCCACCCAGAGCTGGGTCCACGCTGCAAAATAGAACTATGTGCCGTGGGGTCGGTGCTAACGCATAGACCTGCCCCTGCAGGTTCCCAAGACTGTCAGTCGGTACGGACTAGACCTGGACAGCCTTCTTCCTCCCAATGCAGAAGGAGCACTCTTTCTTTCTCCAACGAGGATCACTGGGTGTCAGGAGCAGTCCTCGAAGGCGGGGGACACAGGGTGGTGGGAGTGAGGAGGCTGAGGGAGGCAGACTCCCATCGATCCGCTCACGTGGGTGCTTTGTGATGACGTGTCCTACTGTGTGCATGCGGCAGAAGCTGGGATGTGAGCATCCCAGGGGCAGGGACGGCACAAGGCACAGGAGATATGTGGTGCCACACTGTGTGCCCATTATTCAGCATGAGACCCCGGCACAAAACCCCAAACTCCGGACTCACGGCCACCAAGACGATTCGGACTCTTAGCGACCCTGCAGCGAGGCTTTCACCGGGATGTGACAGGGATGTTCAAAACCCCATAGGACAAAGCAAAACTGCCCCTGCGCGTTATCCCGGCTGTGAGTCTTCACAGGGACGGAAAGACTCGCCTTTCTCCCCGCGGAGCAGTTGGCTTTGAACTGCTGACTGTGCCTTTAACAGCCCGTTGAGTCCCATGACGCCACCTGGACTCCTTCCACAGGGACACAGGACCTTCTATGGGAAAAAAGGAATATGCAAACCCTTCCCATGTTAATGCTGAGGGCTTAATGGCATAGTGCTTATGCGCTGGGCTGCTAACCACGAGGCCAGCAGTTTGAAACCACCAGCCACTCGAAGGGAGACAGACGAGGCTCTCTACTTGTAAACAGCTACGGTCTCAGAAACCCAGAGGGGTGGTTCTCGTACATCCTATAGGGTCGCTGTGCACTGGCATCAACGCGTTGGTCTTGAGAGTGAGTTTTGGGGTGCCAAGGGCATGCTCAGGGTCCTGATGATGGTCTCTCTCCCCCAGCTGGCTGTTTGAAGGCCTGGGCAGGGACAAGGCTGAGGAGCTGCTGCAGCTGCCAGACACAAAGATCGGAGCCTTCATGATCAGAGAGAGCGAAACAAAGAAGGGTGAGTATCCACAGCCGCATCCTTCCTGTGCCGTGCCCCACCCGGGGTCTGTTCTCGGCTCCATCCCCCGTCTCCTGGGACTCACCAAGACCAGTCTGATGCCCTAGCTCCCCAGAGGCTGCCCGGGCCCACAGAGAACCAGCTTCAGAGCTAACAGGCTGACGTGGGCAGCTGGGAGGTGGCTGGCCCTGCCACAGACCTGCCGACCCCAGAGCTCAGAGTTCTCATCGATCACACAGTGATGGTGAGAATAAGACATTATCCAGTGATTCTCGTGCTCCTGCTACACACAAGGCCTCAGATCCCAGGGCCCAGGCATGTGTTCCTCTGCATTTTCCAGGGTCAGGACCAAGGCTGCCTGCATCCTGCTAGCTAAGTCATTCCTGGCAGGCAGACAGGGTGGGGTGCTCGGCAGGGGTCCCAAGTGAGGGTCCTGATGGCTGGCTTCCGCTGCCCTCCTTCATGAGTAAGCTGCATCTGGGCCCTCACCTGGACCGCCGAGGGCTGAGCCACCACAGAGAGCTTGTCCCGGAGTCTGGGATGGAGGGAAACCCTGGGCCATCGAGTCCATTCCAACCAAGGGGACACCGAGGCCCACAGAGCCAGGACTGTACTCTGTCGGGCTTTCTGGGGGTCATCTTTAGGGAATCAGGTTGCCAGCCCTTTCTTCCGTGGGGCTGCCAGGGAGGTACAGTCGGCCAGGCCTCCACTGAGTCGTGGAGCACAAACTATGTCAGGCACAGACCTTGGGAGGACGCCATCATCATTGTCTGTGACTAGTAGGGACCCCTGTGAAAGGGCAGGACTGTGCTCCATAGGGACTTCTGGGAGGTTCCTTCTAGGGGCAGATGGCCAGCTCTTTCTCCCGTAGCGCGCTGAGCACGTGGGACCGGCCAGCCTTTGGGTCAGCAGCCAAGCGCACGCAGTAAAACGTAGAAAACTTAGAAAAACTGAGAGGAAAGAAAGCGTTAACAGCTAAGGTTTCCCCAGACCAGTGGCCGCCACTTTCTAACCATGAGGCCAGCTGTGGAATCCTGGCTGGCGTCCGTGCGCTCACAGCACAGCAGGCAGCGTGCAGACCCCGGTGTGCTCTCCAAGCTACCCGACAGCCGCCTGCTGCTGGAGCCGCTCGCCCCACTGGGGAGTCAGGGGGCGGACAGACCAAGGGCACTTGAGTCATTGGCAGCTGCTTCGGTACATATACAGTATGTGGCTCCACAGTCAGATTGAAAATGAAAATGAAACTGTCACAGATTCATTTAAAGGATGTGCATCGGATCATAAAGATTGCATTTATTTGTAAAATGTATTTACGGCTCCCCGAATAACTTTTAAATTGTTATGAGGGCCAGGACTGGCCCTTCCATCTCAAAAGTTTGCCAACCCCTGGTACAGATGAAGGCAGCACAAAACCCAGACCTGCCTTCCTCCCCAGCCCCCAATATTCAAGGGACAGCAAGATGCAAACCAAAGGGAGCTCCCTGGGCATGTCCCTGGGTGTCCCCAAGACCCAGACAGAGTCCCCCCCAAGATGACGTGGCCATGTGAGTTGGGGAGGAAACCCAGCACTCAATGCTAAATATAAAGGTGGCGTCAGGGGTGCAGGGCGGGGCAGGCAGGGTGGAGGCAGACCCTGCTCACTTGGGTATGCAAAGTCAGGAGGATCTCCCACCTGCCATCCTTGGCCTGAGACATTACCAGAAGACACGTGCCAGGTTGGCTCAGAGGACAGGCCCACACAGAGCCCAAGATGCCCACCGACTGCTGGCAGGGGGCTCTCAGGACAAAGACGAGGCCCAGGATTGCACCTCCAGCTGCTTCCTTCAGGTTCTGAGCCCCAGTTTCCCCACCCATCAAAGGTTAGGGGACAATATCTCCCGAGGTCTCCCTGCCCAGCTCTGAAAAGGACTTGTCCCTTTCTGGCCTGCCCCCCAAAGTGTTTCTCAGGCCTGGCATCCAGAGGCAGAACGGGGAGGGTCCAAGCCCGGTCCTCTCACTTTCCAGTCAGAGAGGTTGAGGCAAAGACATGTCCCACAAGCTTCCGCAAGCTCCTCCTACTCTGGCAGCCGCCCCCACCCCACCCGCCCAATCCCACTTGGAGGTTGTTTCCTAGGGACGCCCAGAAGCATGTCTCAGGGGCCGCTGTCTGTCAATCTCTGATTGGGTCCAGTAGAAGCCCGAGGGAGTGGGGACCTGGAGAGGGGTGTCACTGTAAGTCACACAGTGTGCAGTGGGGCCGTCGTGGGCAGGTGCTGGGGCAGGCAATGACCATGAACTCCAGGCTGCAAACTGTCACATTTCATTTGGCCTGAGAAGCCACCCTCAAGGTGATCCTATAGAACAGTTCCTAAGACTGTCCCTCCTTACAGGTGTAGAAAGCCTCATCTTTCACCCAAGAAGCAGCTGGTGGTTTCGAAATGCTGACCTAGAGGTTAGCATCTCCACATGTAAAAATAGGGTCCTCGTGAGTCAGCGTTGACTCGATGGCAGTGAGTTTAGTTTTGGTTTGGTTTTAAGAAGCCACACGAGGATATGGACACACCTCAGTGCTTACCTCAAAAGGCAGAGAGAACTGTGTGCCTAAAAGGCTGCAATCCCGGCAGGGTTACCACTAAAATAACGCGATCCTGTGGTCTCCAGAGGAGCCCTGGTGGCTCTGTGGTTAAGAATTCAGCTGCTACACTAAGGCTCAGCAGTTCAAACCCGCCTGCCACTCCTGGGGAGCAGGACATGGTAGGCTCCTTCCGTAGAGGTTGGCAGCCCTGGACACACTCTGGGGCTATTCTACTCTGTCCTCTGGTGTTGATGGGTTAGAATTGAGGTGGCAGCCGCAGGCATGCAGTTTGGGTGTATGCATTTTCCTCAGTGACCTTGAAGGACCAACTGAGGAGCCTCAGAAGAAAGGCCTGGCAATCTACTGCCCCCAAACCAACCTCTGAGCCCTGGGGGCATGTTCTCTGGTTCACCTGGGCATCCACGCCACTGCAGCTGGTTAGGGAGAGGGTCTGGAAAGAAAGAGCGACATGTGGTGGGGGGAGGGCAGGCTTTGCTGAAAGCATCAGGAGAGTGTGTCCAGTGTTCCTGTTCTGTGCCCGTGTGGAGAGGACCCACCCCACCCGCTTGGGATGAGTCCCTGACTGGCCCTCTGTCACCTCCAGGTTTCTACTCGCTGTCAGTGAAGCACCGGCAGGTGAAGCATTACCGCATCTTCCGCCTGCCCAACAACTGGTACTACATCTCTCCCAGGCTGACCTTCCAGTGCCTGGAGGACCTGGTCAACCACTACTCCGGTAAGCAACCTGACACCTCATGCCCAGGCACCCGAGCAAGATCCCTGCTGCGAGATCCCTCGCCCCTCTGGTACCCACCCTGTCCGTGTACGGGACATGTCATACTCATGCACCCTGCCTGGGAAGCTGCCCCATCAGCCCTGGATCCGTCCTCTCTCTGGCTCATCCAATAGTGCATGTTCTGCCCGGGCCATGCCCTCTGGGCCTCTGGGGCTGTGTGCTGAAAGGCCAAGTGTCCTCTTTTCAGTTTGTCAAAATGCTGCTCCTCTTCCAAGTCTGACAACGTCCTTGAATCAGACTCAGCGGCCGGCATCCTTGGCGCCACTCACCTGCTTCCCTTCCTTGGCCTCGTGTCCCAGCAGGGCACGTTCTGGCCTCCGCCTGCCCAGGGTCCAGGAGAGGGGCATGAGTGGCCCCAGTTGGCCAAGGCCGGTGGCGCCTTGCTGGCACCGGGCAGTATCAGGAAAGGACAAGTGTGGAATCCAGTTGTGGAGGGCTTTGAAAGCCAGGGTAGGAGGCTGAGTCTTAGCAAATGGAAAATTGACTGAACTTGCAAATAGCACAGTGGTGCGGGGGTTTCCCTGGAAGCCCCAAGTGCCTCTTCTGGCGGCTTCTTGTGTCGGGCGCAGCCTGGGGCTGTCTTTCTCCTTCTGTGATGCAGACCCTGTGTCTGCAAGTGTGCTCCATGGATGGGGTCCTGGAGCAGAGCCCCTCGTCCAGGTGATGGCTTGCCCAACAGGTTCTCCTGCTTCGGCCGGACAGGACCACCTCGTGCCTCCTCCAGCCCACTGCTGTGGTCAAGGGGCGGAGAGGCCTGGCTTCTGCTTCCTTAGGGCCTTGCTGCCTCCAGGTTCTATGGCTCCAGATCACACCCTCAGCAACTTTCTAGACAGGGTGGTCTTGAGTGGAAGAAACAAAGGGCATTTCAGGGAGAATGGAAAGGAATCTAGCGGGCTCTGGCGGGCATGTCTGGCCTTGAAAACACCTGCTGATGAGAAACAATGGCTACTTGGGAGAGACAGGCCCATGTTCCCATCCAGGCTGCCGTGTTGGTTGGAGCTGAGGGTGGCCTTAGGCAGGGTCCTGGGGTGTGGGGAGGGGGAAGCAGGAGGACAGCCCCTGGCAGGGGGCTGGAGGGATTACGACCGACTGCAGTGCTAGGTATCCCCTCCAGCCTGGCATGCTGTAGAGAGGAGCTCACCGCTGCAGAACATGAAAGAGGAAGGAGCCCTGGAAACCGACCCCCTTGGGTGATCACAAACAAGTGTGGGCTGTGGTCTTGGCCTGAATGATGCCCATCTGAGAGGTGTGGATGCCATACGTTTTGCATATGCAAAAGCAAACACAAAAGGGAGGTGGCCAGCAGAACCTGTACAAACGGGGCGGCCTCAGGCTCCCAGGCCAGGGACACCCACATCACCAGGCAGCTGCATGTGCCCTGGGATCGTGCCTGCCACCCAGAAACACATCACTGAATGGTTAGGGACCAGTTCATATCTGCACACCTCTGGGATTCTCCCCGGTCCCTCTTAGACCCCAAGTGGGACAGGTGCAGCCAGAGTCTAACCTCCCAGCAATGTTCCAGCTCAGGCTGTGGGTACCCAAGCACAGACGAGGTCTGAGGGAGGGAGCGGGCGCCAGCGTCATGTGTATGGCCCTGCATTTAAAGTGAGTGAATGGTAGGGTGGCATCCCATCCCTTTGAGGCACTCAGCTGCTAACTGGGAAGTTGGAGTGGAGGTTGAAACCCATTCTGATGGGCCGTGAGAGAAAGGCCTAGTGATCCGCTTCTGAAAAATGAGCCACAGGAAGCCCTAGGGAGTGCAGTTCTCCGCTGACGGGGCTGTGCTGAGCGGGCCGGCCTGACAGCAACAGGCAGGTTGTGTGGGGTTCTGAGCCAGCGAGATGGCTTGGGTGGGATTTCTGTGTCTCTCTATGAGCAAGCAGATGTGGGAGCCAGTGGAGGCTCCTGCCACATGCTCACGATTCTGGGTGCTATTGCTCTCTGCACACGTTTCTCTTTTCACCCACATATCTACCTTGTGAAGGAGCCCCAGTGGCACTGCCGGGTAAGCACTGGGCAGCCAACCACAAGGTCGGTGGTGCAAACTAAATGGGTGTCTTTTCCCTGCAGAGGTGGCCGACGGGCTCTGCTGCGTGCTCACCACGCCCTGCCTGACGCAGAGCACCACCGTCCCCGCCCCCGCCGCGCGGGCGCCCAGCTCTACTGTCACCCTGCGGCAGAAGACCTTCGACTGGAAGAGAGTGTCCAGGTAGGGTGCTGGGGAGCAGGGGTTCCCTGAGGCCATGTGAGCACAAAGCCTGCACGGGGGCCAGGTGCATGGACATAGCCTGCCCTGCTGGGGCACGGAGGTGGACACCCTGAGCAGGTGGAGACTTATCTGTTCCGAGGGACCCCAGAAGGCACCCAGGCCTCACACACAGGCAGCTCCAACACCCTGGGCCTTCAGTTGTGAGCTGGAAGTCCTCCTGGGCCCTTGTTGGACCCAGGCAGCGGCGCTCTGAGTGCCCTCTAGGCCCTGGGTTTGTCGCTTCCCAGTGTCACTGTCATTGAGCTGTGAGTCTGTTCAGACCAACACCAAGCCTATGGGCAACAGCAGGCAGATTTGGCCGGCCGGCGCCAGCCAGTCCCCCACGTATGACCCCTGTGTTCCACCCGTGCTAGCTGATCCCTGTCTGGGAAAGGGCACGCACTGCAGGGGTCATGGGACCCCTTGGAGCTGCCTGCACATTATTTCCTGCAAGCCTACGACAGCCCTGGAATGCAAAGTCTGTTTACATTTGTCAAGACAGAGATAGCTGGTGTTCCAGGTTTTCAAGGAAACAGAGGTTCAGAGAGGCAAAGTGGTGGGCCCAAGGCCACACAGCCCCCGATGTAAGACCCAGAATTCCAACCACATGTTAGCGGACTATCGACCAGCTCTTTCCTTTCTTTGCTCACTCTCCCATCTCCTCCTCTTTCTCCCTTTGCCCACCCCCAGCCTGCAGGAGGGCCCCCGTGGCGCAGAGAGCCCGCTGGGTGTGGACGAGTCCCTCTTCAGCTACGGCCTGCGTGAGAGCATCGCCTCCTACCTCACCCTGACGGGGGACGAGCATGCCCCCTTCGACCGGAAGAAGAAAAGCCTGTCCCTGCTGTACACCGGCAGCAAGCGCAAGAGCGCCTTCTTCTCCTCGCCGCCCTACTTTGAGAACTAGCCCGCGCCGCCACCAAGGGACCGCTGGAGGACGATGAGTTGGGGAGCGGCAGGGCCTGGGGGCCCTCCTCCAAGGCCAGGGGGTCCCTGGGGATTCAGGTTCTCATCTTCTCCACACTGGGACAGAGGACACCCCTCCCTGTGAGGTCACCGCCTTCTGACTCCACCGGACACTGTTTCAGGGACCTGCGTGCTGTGCCGGCCTATGACGTGTGATGTGCTTGTCCAGAAACAGCCTGCGTGGCCACCTGCTACACACACTCCAGAGAACTACTGCCGGAGAAGCCCAGGAGAGTGGCCCTGGGCGCAGGGCAGCCGTGGCAGCTGGGTGGTCCGCACGGGCAAAGGGACTCTGAGCTTTTGGTATCCCCCCCCTTGGGGCCTTCGGCATGTACTTCTTTGAAAGGAACCGCAGCGACACTAAGCATTAGTCTTCCTTCCGCTCTGTTTTGTGCGACAGTGGGGAGTCCAGCTGGGATGGGAAGGAATTATAGGCACCCCTCACCCCCAACTCCAATCTCTTAGCGGGCTCCGAGACACCATGTCTGTGCCTCCCCGCTTCTGAAGAGGGTAGGGACCAACGGGAGCTGGGGGAGGCCGCAGGCCGGGGACAGATAGGGTGCCCAGGCGTGGGGTGGCCTTAATGATGTCCAGCCAGGGCTTAGCAACACAGAGTGCGTGGCAGTGGCTGAGAACCTGGCCTCCGGAAGCCACCCACTGTTCACTCATAATTATAGTTCTGTGGGAGATGCCTGGCCCCCCAAACCAACCAACCAACAGCCCTAACAACCACAAAAGATGGTGAAGCCCCACGCCCATCAGCAATGTGAACTCACAGAGAGCTAGGGGAGCTAAAGGGAGGGTTCAGCTCCTGGCTTAGGATGGGGTGGGATGCAGTTGGGGAGCGTCCAGGTGCTCCCATTCCATTGAGTCTTCGGGGTGGGATGCAGGTAGTGAGGGGGTTGAGGAAGTGAGAATGGCAGGTATTTGTCGAAATAGAAATGCGTGCGTTCTAGAGAACAGATCCACTTCATATTTTATTTAAGGGGTCTCGGCCAGGTGGTGGATTATGTGTTGGCTACTAACCTCAAGGTCTGAATTTTGAAGCCACCAGCCAGCCCATAGGAGGAAGATGAGGCTTTCAGTTTCTGGAAAGATTCAAAGTCTCAGAAGTCCACGGGGCTCATTCTACGCTGCACTATAGGGTCCTTATGAATTCACACCTACTCAGTGGCCTTGAGAAGGTTTTATCCAGAGAAGGGTCTGGCGTGCAGGCAGGGAAATGCTGGGCTGGAGGACGAGTTAGGAGAGAGAGAGCAGCCTCACCCTGGGGTATACCATTCCCAGCGAGAAGAAGGGCAAAGAGGAGAGGGTGGGTGCCCTCTGCAGCCTTGAGGAAGGGGCTTTGGAAGAATCGAGGTCCTACTTACCCTGTTTCTGGGGGCCTTGGGGGAGGGTGCATGTAGTATTTCTTGTGCCTGCTGGGAGCAGTCTCTCTGGTCCCCACAGACCTGGGGTGAGTGGGTGCTCTAATGGTACAGTATAAACATTGACGTGAGTTTCTGTGTCAGGGGATCTAGGGGTGCAATCCTCCACAGTCCCCAAATGCCTGCTTGCAAGGGGCCCGCCCGCCTCTTTGGAAGAGTTGAGCACAGGGAGCAGGCATGACTGTCGGACCCTGGACAGTGTGCCCTGACTCTCGTCTTGTGTTCCAATGTGTGTCATATGACTGGAGCATTGGGGAGCTCTGGGAGGGATTTCTGTGTGGGAAGCATTTCTCTTTGCTAAATGGTGTATTTATTCCTAATTAAGATAATAAATATGGAACTCTTGGTGTGTGGGAGAGTTTCTTGAGGGGGGCAGTGGGGGGCGGGGCAGCTTATGCAGAAATCCTGCAGGTTTTGAATTTTCAGAAGCCCATGCAAGGGTGGTGGGGGGAGGAGAGGAGAAAGGGGCCCTCGAGGGCCTGCCCAGCAGCCTCCCTTTGAGGGGTCCTGCCCCACCGTAGGAAGAATGCTAAGACTTGAGGGTGGGCATATGGGGTAGAAGGAGGGAGAGAGCAGGGAAACCATTCAAAGCCATAGTCACGGACACTCTATACCCCACTGTAGGAACCCTGGTGGTGTAGTGGGTTACTCACTCAGCTGTTACCTGCAAGGTCAGCAGTTCAAAACTACCAGCTGCTCTGTGGAGGAAAAACGAGGCTTTCTACTCCCGTGAAGAGCTAAAGCTCACAGGCAGTTCAACCCTGTCCCACAGGGGCCCTGTGAGTCCACAGTGCCTCCATGGCAGTGAGTCTGCTTTGGGGTGACATCCACTCTGTTCCTCTGGCTGTCATGCGAGATACCTGCCTGTGATTTTCTTCTAGAAAGGCCTTTCCTGCAGTGTTGTCTCTCCACACCATCGAGTCGATTCCAATTAATTGTGACCCTAAAGAACAGAATAGAACTGCCCCTGTGGGTTTCTAAGACTACAAATCTTTATAGGTGTAGAAAGCCTCGTTTTTCTCCCACAGAGCAGCTAGTGGTTTTGAACCACTTAACTTGCGGTTGGCAGGCCAATACATGACCCACTACATCACCGGGACCACTTTTTTTAGATGTCTATTAAATACCAGGCACTGCTCTCGGAACAAGGTGCCCTGGTGGCTCAGTGGCTCATGAGGTGGCCTGATAGCCCCAAGACCAGTAGTTCAAAACCACGAGGCTCTTCAAGGAAGAAAGATGAGGCTTTCCACTCCCATAAAAATGACAGTCTTGAAACCCACAGGGGCAGTTCTACTCCGTTCCACAGGGCCACTGCCAGAACTGATTCTAAGGCAGGGAGTTTGGAGAGGAATTTGCTATCAGAACCAAGGATCCAGCTGTGAAGGGCATAGGAGACCCCCCTGGGGAGCTAGGACAAGGCTCTGCTGGGTGGGAGTGCGGCGGCCCAGTTAGGCGGGAAGCAGGAGCCATGTGCCCTGAGGTCCCCAGGGATCCAAGGTACCTGGACTGTTCTCCAGTGAAATACAGAGAAAAAGCACAGCTGCTCCTTAGGGTTTCCTAGACTGTACGTCTTCCCGGGAACAGTCAACCCCATCTTTCTTCTTCCTGCGATCTACAGCCCAACACTCACCCCACTGAGCGGCTAGGCCTCCTCAAATCACTGCTCAAACCCAAAACAAACTCACTGCCATTGAATCCATTCCAGCCCACAGTGACTACTGCAGGACAGGGTGCCTCCCTAGGTTCCCAAGACTGTAGCTGTTTACAGGAGTAGAAATCCCTGTCTTTCTCCTGTGGAGGGGCTGGTAGTTTCAAACTGCTGACCTTGCAGTTAGCAGCCCAACTCGTAACCACTACACCACCAGGGGCTCCTGCCAAATGACCACTGGCAGTGTGTAGATAGTCTGAAGAAAGGAATGCTCCAGGGCTATCGGGAAAGGAGAAAAGACAAATGGCGCATCTTGGAAAGACTGCCTCGTGAACCTGGGGGCACTCTGCCGAGTGAAATGAGCCCATCGGAAAAGCACAAAAGTCCCCTGAGGCCTCCGCTGAAAAAGGCCAGGGAAAGACTGACCAACAGCAAGGAGCATTCTTTCCAGGTGATGTGGGTGGGCACCCGGGGGACTAACTGGAGGTCCGTACTGACTCACGCGTGTGGCTGAAGGGATGAAGGGAAGGGCTATATGGGGGAGGGGAGGGGCAGCGCAAGGCGACTGAGGCAGAGAAGACACTGGGAGGAGGTACGCCCGGAGTGAAGGGCAAGCCAGGTCAATCCTACCCCACACCCACCTGCAGCATCAGCATGCCTACAGGTGATGCTCAGGCTGAGATGTAAGCCAGTGGGGATAGACTACAGCCGTGAAGACGGGCAGGCTGGACAGGGGACGGTTCTGCAGATGTAGTTATACGAGCCACAAGCTTATCGGCCAATACAGTCCAGCAAGGGGGGCAAAGTGTTGAACACATCTGCGTCGTAGCAAACATCTGTGGGAAGGGGTTGCTGGGACTGGGGGCTCAGGGCCGGTCTCAGGGCCATCAAAGTCAATGAGCGCGATGTTAGCTTTCTGGGGTGGTATACCTCGGGGTTTGTTTGGCGGTCCTGAAAAGAATTCACGGTCCTGAAAAGAATTCACACAGCCAAAGCACGGTTGTAATCCTAGTGACCTTTAGGAGGAAAAAGGAAGATTTGGGCTTTACAGTCTTAACAATTACCACGCCATTTCTTGAAAGCGCACAAGGCTGTATGGAGACTGTGCAGGGGTTCATGGCTGAAAGACCACATGGAAAGAATCCAGGAACAGGAGCACAAAAACCACGCTTGTGGAACCACGAAATCCCAGGGGCCAAGAGAGAGGCCTGAGAGGGAGCCAGGCCCCAGGCTGAGCAGAGCATGTATGCCCAGGTGCAGGAGAGAGTCCCACCCTCTGCCTGCCAAACTCACCTGAATGAGAAAGCAAAAGAGCCCACGGCCTGGTTTTATCCCCTCTCAGTCCCACTGGCTGCGGAGGTGTGGCTGGTGTATTGGCCAACCTTATTGGTTGAGTTTAGGCGCACCTGTGTGATGTCAGGTTGTTGGTGCCTAAGGTGGGTGTGCCCAGGTTGGCTTCGTCTGGACCTATGGAGCTTGTGTCTGAACATGCTCGGTTCCAGGTGCCTGATTTATTTCCAGATAAGTACACATGTGAACCATTAGACAGTCTCAAGACCGGTGTATCGTCAGCACCCTGAGATAGATAAATGCGCTGCAGAAAACCTGACCTCAAATCCACAACAATCTTTATGCTAGTAAATGCTATGACACAAGTTCTGTGCTTAAAAGAAGCTCGGAGGCCGTGCCTGTCAATCCATGTTAACAATACCTCCTGAGGTTTCCTTTGGCATCTAAGCCACACTTCAGTGGGCATTGCCATCCCACAGCTCTTGCCATAGGCTTACCTAAACTGCTCACCTGCTTTGTCTCTTCCAGAAGTCATCAGACTACTGATGACACTGAGCCAAGGCTGCCAATCCCAGGATCACCAAGGCCTGGTCTACCTCAACCCCACTCACCGTTGTCCCCTACGTGGATGACAACCCTCCCCCACAACAGAGCAGGAAGGGTGTGGACCCAAAGCCCCACGTCAAACACTCTCTCCACCCAGTATCCCCAAAGATTTGGGTCCATACTCCATCAGTGGGGTATGCAGTTCACTAGATTAGAGCTAAAGGGGGCTGTCTCCCCAAATGCCTACACTAGATGAAAATTAGCCACCCATGTCACCATCAAGGGATTGCAGGGAAGTCAGGTACCCATTAGACACCTGTGGGAAAACACCTGGGCACCGACGATGTGACATCACACAGGTACACCTGAACTCAGCCAATAAAGCCTGTCAGTACCCAAGCCATGCCCCATCCCGTAATGCAGGAGGGGGATAAAGACAGGGCCTGAGTCCCTGCTCTCTCGCTCTTGGCCTCTGGAGACTCCCTGCTCTTGGTTCCGCATGCGTGGCTTTTGTGTCCCTCTTCCGGGATTCTTTTCACATGGGTTGTCCCGCTCTCCTGACGTGGCCATCTTTAGTCCCAAGCTCCGTGCAGCTCCCCGCATGGCCTTGTATGCTTCCCAGAAGTAGCATCTACTTTTTGAGACTGTAATACCTGAAACGTTCCTTTCCCTCATAAAAGTCACTGGGATTGACAGAACCGCTTCTGCCACGGAATTCTTTCAGTGTTGTGACGGAAGAACCCAGGTCAGCCATCCCAGAAACCAAACAATAACATAGTCCACCAAGACAATATTCTACTTCCTACTTTGGTGAATAGTAACTGGCGTCTTCAGCATCTCTTCTTAATGCGATCGAAAAATGGCATTGTACGGTGTGTGAAATATATGCCAGTGAAACTCCTTTTAAAATTCTCTGAGTGGCTATTTTAAGTGGATCTATTGGATGCTCCCCATCTAGAGGCAAGAAGAGGAAAGGAATTCAAAGGTGCATGGAAACAATTAGTCCAAAGGTCCAATGGACCATGCAAACCTCTGCGCCCACAACCCTGAGACGAGAAAGAGCTAGACAGTGGCCCCCACCACCTCTCCAGAAGTAATCACGAGAGGAGGTCTAGGAGTGGGAGAAGAATGTGGAACAAAACTAAAAATAAGTAAAACAACCACCCTTACGGATTTGGTAGAGACTAGAGGAAGCCCTGGAGCTGGGGCTCTTAGGTCACTCCCCACGCCCCCTTTCAAGCCTAGACCTGAACTCGCCCCCATGGCTCAACTTCCAAACAAACAACAGACAGGCTGACAGGGTGAACAGGAACAGCAGTGGTGTGGGAAGTCCTTGGGCCAGCCAGCGCTAAGAGATCAGACAGGCAGCATTTGCCCAGGGATAAAGCTCAGAGGGCAGAAAGAGAGAGGAAATTGGGGTGGATGGGAGCACAGGGCAGAAGAGAAAAGAGAGCTACCACATGGTCGAGGCTGCAGTGAAAACCACAAAACACAACGTGGGGTACTTATTAGTGAATGGAAAATATATTTACCCCGTGACTTTCCCCCAAGCCACAAAAACAAAGTATATAAAAACAAACAGCTAAACCCACTGCCTTTGAGACGATTCCAACTCCTATGGCCCTCTAGGGCCGAACAGCATAGCCCTTGTCCTGCCTTGTCCCTCTTCCTTATCCCTTTCTGACCTTCATCCCCAGACGCTCTCCTGTGCGTGGCTGCTCTGAGGATCTTCTGAAGCTGTAACCTTTACGGAAGCAGACGGCCACTTCTCTCACCCACAGAGCAACCTGTGGGCTTGAACTTCAGACCTCTGGTTAGCAGCAGAGTGCTTAACCCTGTGGCACCAGGGTTTCTTGGGCCAAACAAATGGATCATGAATCACCAACACATCACGGGAGTCTCTCCTGCCTGTTGGCCCAACAGTTTTGGTCCCAAACTTGGCGAAAAGACTTCTGATTTAATGTGAGGCTAAAGCACCCTCTCTCATGGCCCCACCTCGGTGGGTGTAGTAAACAGGTAGATGCAATTGTAGCTCTCTTCATTCCAAACCCTTCCACAAACACCCCCACAGCGGCAGGGAGCAGGTGTCTACGCGGCTCCCCAGAAACTTGAACAGAAGGGATGGTTTATTTATAAGCCTCTGCCATGTGTTAAGACAGATGACGTTTTGAAAGATCCCTCAGACGCCCAAGGCCTCGGATTGAAGTTTCTGGAGAGAGGTCTGGGTGTCTGCTGGGTCCCAGTGAGTGGCTGGTTTCTGCTGGGACCTTGGAGCACTGTGTCCCCCTGGCACCTTGTCCCCTCAAGAGAAGTTGCAGCCAGGAATGAGGCCTTGTGTGCAGCAATAGGGCTGGTTTTTTCAATGTTATCAGTTACATTAACTAAGTCAAACTTGGCTAATGGGTGCGTGCTGGTCCCTTCTGAGGGATGTTTTATAAAAGAGCAGACCAGAGAACCACCCGGGGCTGCAGCAGCTGAGAGGGATCCTCGTTGGAGGGGACCGAGGGCTTGGCCCTGTTGCCACCGGGCTCCTGGCTTCCAGCCTTGAGCATGTGTGAGAACATTATGGCCTGTTCTCTCTAGGAACCACTGCCTGCGAGTCGCACAAAACAACGTTTGTGTCAGAACTCCTCCCACTAAGGAGGACCCCCTTCAGAGGAGGCAGCTTCAGGGAGGTCTAGTGAGTAAGCCACTACACCATGGGAACCCTTACTAGGTAGTGTGGCAAATTCCACCATCTAGCAACACCACCGGGCACCAACTTGATGAAATAAAGTGTCAGTCACCGTCAAAACAATGTCACAGCATGGCTTGTGCTGGACCAACTGGGCTATGCCATTATCATCATCACCATCATCACCATCATCATCATCATCATCATCATCATCATCATCCCAACAGTATCACCATCACCACCACCTCAAAGGGACTCCCGACCAGCCTGGGGACTCACTGGGGTGACTCCTACTCTCTGCTTGCTGATGGCCGGCTTCACTCCACAGTCAAGGGCTCAGTGGGCCAGTAACAAGAAAGGAGGGGCCTGTGAGCTTAAAGTCGCCCAACACTGCTCCCTGAGATAAGGCCACCAGGAGCAAGGACGCCGGGGCCCAGCCCGAGTGAGCGACATGGCCAAGCACAGAGGCCACAGGGGAAGTGACACTGGGGAGTAGACAAGGTGATCTGCCTTTCATTCTGGCCCACTTCAGAAAACCTGTCCAGTGCAGGCCAGATCTCCTCCTCCACCAGCAAGCTTTACAGCCCCAGTTCCAGGCCCTCTTACTGTCTGGAGACAAGGGGCCGAGTGAAGGCCACAATGAGTGGTCCTGAATGGACTACTTGGGAGAACAGAGCCCCTTCCCCAGCTAGAGCAGAGGTCCCTTTAGCAGTGAGCGGGACGGAGTCCAGCAGTCCTGCCGAGTGTGGCCCCATGCCCACGTGGAAAGATGGTCACAGCGGAAACCACATGCAGGGTGGTGAAGGATCATCAAAACCCAAGCATTTCAAGGTAGGTGGTCTCGGGAGGCAATGAACGCCACCTTCCGGGCTAGTGCCCAGTCACTCACCATCAGCACAGCCCTCTGGAAGAGTCTGTCCTTCATGGCTCTTGGGGTGAGAAGGTGGATGCCAGCCACGTCGGCCCCGCCTCGGTCTGCCGCCAGAGTCACACGCCGAGGGTCCCCACCGAACTCTCCAATGTGGGTCTGTACCCAGGTCAGCACCGCCACCTGGTCCATCAGACCCCAGTTTCCATTCCCTTCGCCAGGCCCTTCAAAGAGAAGGAGAGCCCGCGCTAGTGACATCCAATAATCCTGGGCTGGTCCACCCCGGGTCTGGGTTCTACGGGAGTGTGAGCGCCCCCCGGCTCTTTCCCCCACAGGTCAAGCTGTTGTTTCCAAATTCAGGATGGGACCGTGGGAAGAACATGGACTTCAGTCACTTGAATTCTAGTCTTAGCCTTTGCTGCCTGGGAGACCGGGGCCATGTCAGCCCTGCTGGGTGCTGGCTCTCCCGGCGTAAAGGAGGCACAGTCTCTGTGGCCAGGGTAGGAGTTCAGATGGCAGATGGTGCAGGCTCAGTAGCACTCTGTCTGGCCCAGTCGGTGGGAGGAGACAGCACCCCACCCCATCCCACTCTCCAGCCCAGTGCCTCCATCCTCTCTGGCCGGGACTGCTCAGCTCCCTGGCCCCTTCCTTCCACGTCGGAGTCCACGGGGACCTCCCAATAGCCATCAGCAGGGTGAGCTGTTTCCTTCCTTTGTTGACTCAGTAAACACATGTTGAGAGCCAGCAAGGTTTCCTTGTGTTTTCTAATGGAACGATGCAGACACAAAGTCATAGAAATAGGCTCTTCTCCTGAATTGCTTGGGACCCTGCACGTCCTCATCTTTGCGATTGACCTCCAAGCTCACAGGGTCCACCTTCTCAGTCCATGCCCCCAGACTCTGAGGGGCAGACCTCCTTCTCTGGTGGCATCATGGAACACGTATTGAACTGCTAGCCGCTAGGTCAGAGGTTCAAACTCACTCCGGGAGACAGATGAGGATTTCTGCTCCTGTGGGAATGTACAGCCTCGGAAACCCACGGGGCTGCTCTGCCCAGTCTTACAAGGTCAGGATGGAAGGTGTGGTCCTTTATTTTTCTGGTTTGATGGGAAGCCCACCTCTTTCCGTCTGCACCACGGAATGTCATCAGAGCCCATGGCTTGGGTTGCCACCAACATGCTGATGACCATGGGTGTCTGTGCCCACCTCTAGGTTCCTCACATTCCTCCACGCAGCCAACAGTCATCCAGAGTGGAAAACGAGCCCCACCCCCACGCTGGACCTCCAACCAGCGGCATTTCATGGGTGATACCCCCACTCAGCCTGTCATGCTCCAATAGCTGTGTGCTACCACAGTGCTGGAAGACAGGTCACCGGTGGTTTAAATAGGAGCAGGGCCTTCCTCAGCAGTGTCTGTGGAGCTTCCACACCCAGACAGACTAGGAAGACAGGCCTGGCAGTCTAATTGGGAGGCTCGGCCAAGGAAAGCCCTAGAGAGGGCAGCAGAAGACTGTCCGGGCCAGTGTTGGAAGAGGGGCTCAGAGGTGGGGCCCCTAGAAAGGCACAGAGGCTACACTGTGAACAGGACGCAGGACTGGGTCACGGACCACCTGCTGCACGGGAGATCTCCATGAGTTAGAACCTTCCAGGGACACCTCGCCCCAAACCAGGGTGATAGCAGCCCTCCCTCCCTCAGTCGTCCTAAGGTAGCATTCGTCAGCATTTCTAAAGGGAACAGAGCAGAGCCTGGCCCAGAGGGGGTTTCGTTAAACAGAAGGGAGAGACTGTTTAGGTGCCAGCCTCTTCTTCCAGCTGCTGCAGGTGGGCAGTTCCTGGGTAGCACAGCACCCCAGAGGACGCCGGGCCTGGGTTTCCCATGGGTCCTGCAAGGAGGCTGCCAGAGCTCAGGGGAGGTTTGGTGACTACAGCACACATGGGATTCCCCTGTCCACCAGGCGAGGTGTCCTTCCTCTGTCCTCAAGCCCTGTGGGAGCCGCCAAGCTGTCTGCCCCCCTCAGGTTGCCACGGCCAAGTGCCCCTCGCTGCACTGCTCTGCCCCAGAGGGAAGGAGGGTCACCGTGGCGGTGGACAGGGGCTCCTGTCACCCACCTGACCCCTGCTTCCTTCTGAGGAGAGAATCCCCCACGCCCAGCCGCAGGAAGCCCCTCAAGGAAACGGACTTGCCCCGTGACTGCAACCACAGACTCCAACCAAGGACTTTGAGGAAGATGAGCCAGGGCTGCGCTGTGCTTGCTCAAGCTGCCCTGCCAGCCACCCGAACGAGTTTCCAGAAGGAGACGGACTCTCCGTCAGGCCAGCGTCTGTGGGTGAGATCCCGCCGCCGCCCCCACAGGAACGGGCGCCACAGGGAACTTGGCTCGCCTCTGTCTAGCAGTGGCCTCATGCTAAGCCAGAGAGCCAGTGCGTCTGGCCAGCAAGATGGGCTCCGGATGTCCCCCATGTCTGTCAGAGGGAGGGGGGCCATCCACCCTGTGTTTGGCAAGAAGAGTGACATCGCAGGCCCCCAAAGAGGGAAGCAGAGTTGCACGGGACATCTCCTCTTTGGCCTGTATGGCTCCTCCTCCTCATGCCACCAACCCTCCCGAGCCACCCTGCAGCCCCACCTCTGGTCTTCTGCTCAAGCTGAACACCCCCCGGCCCCTCACCCACCATCCAGCCCTTTCGTTCATCTCAGCTCCCACCCGAGGAGCCTGCCAGAGCTTCTCCCAGAAAATGTGTCAGGTTCCAAAGGAGATGCTCAGGAAAAGGAGAGTCAGCCCTGGCCAGCCCAGACTACTTCTGACTAGGCCCCCTCACCCTGATTCCTCTGCAGGTAGGGGGACCCTCTTCCCCATGGTGCAGAGGGGAACGGGGACTCAGAGGGGCAGTGCCTGTCCCAGGGTGCAGAGTCAGTGCAGGGCCATAGGGCAGCAGGGCGGGCAGTGGGAGAGTTGGCTGTGCCCAGGCGCTCCTGTAACTGCTCTGGGGGATGCAGACGTGGGTGTTTACACTGGTCCCGGGCTCACTCTGCCAGAATTGGAGGTTCGTGACTGGAGACAGGGCAGGCTGGTCTCCACAGGTGGCCGGAGGACAAAGCAGGTGGGATGGGTGTGACTGTCCCGCCTCACACCCAGGGGGCTTCCTGGTGGGCAGTAAGGCTGCTCCCCAAGCCTCTTTGCTCTCCAGGTGGAAGGGAGCCCTGGAAAAGCCTGGCTGTGCTGTGTCCTCACCATACAACCGCGACCACCTTATGGCCACCTGAACCTCCTTGGGCCTCTGTGTCCTCTTCTAAGTCTCTCAATCGAGTCTGCAAGCTTTGGGGGGCAAGCTCCAGACACACAGAGAGTGTCCCTGCTGATTACACCCCAGGTTGTCCGCTGCTGGGCAGGTGGAGGGCAGTTCCCGCGTGGGGCCTCGGCACAGGCGGTCGGTCATTCACACTGTTGCCAGAACTCACCAGAACTCAGAAAGCCAAAGATGCCCACTCGGTAGCCGGCAGTGACCACGATGAGGTTTCCCACAGCGGCCAGGAAGGAGCCGTCGATAGCCAGCTGTGCCCGCCTCTCTGGGCCCTCAAGGGTGTTGTGGAAGAAGACCAACACGGGGGCACTGGGGGCCTGGGGACCGAGGAATGCTGCGGTCAGAGGTGGGCCCACTTCAACTGCAGAACTCAGGGTCCAAGCTCCCCAGGCAGGGTCTTGCCCACCTCACTCTCCCCTTCCCTCCACCCTGCACCTGTGCCCTCTGCTCCCTCCATTTCACTTGGTCCAAAGAGGGAAGATGCTTGGGGCAAACACAGTGACAAACATGTCCCGAGCCCCCCTCAGGGCACCCCGCAGACTTCTGACACCCAGTCGGTTCCTCTGGTAACCCATGAACCAAGCCAACAGTCCTTGAGTCCATTCGGCCCATAGTGGCCCTTTATAGGGTTCCCAAGATGGCACATCTTCATGAGAGTGAAAAGTCTCATCTGTGTCCTGGGGGGCAACTGGTAGATTTGAATGGCTGATCTTGACCTCCCCCCACCACACACACACACCTCCCTGGGACTTCCTCTCCCATGAGCCACTGCTAGCGGAACTTGTGGTCCTCTAAAGGCCAAAAAAAGTGCCATTTCCCACGACCTGGCTTCCTCTGCCATAACCCAGCACCGACAAGAGAGCTTTTACAGATGTGTCTGGAGACCATAGCTGCTTCCCAACACCACCTACAAGAGTCTGGCTCACAATAGCGCCTTTGTCAATGTGATGGGAGACTGACACCCACCAGGGTGGGAGAGGCCCTGGTGACGCCAGGAGAGCCCTACAACCTCAGAAGCCAGTGGAAATCCAGATGGGAGTAGGGAGGCAGACAGTGTGGCCTGAGGGACCCCTGAGAGGAGGAGAAAGGTGAGGTTGGCAGACTTCCAACAGCAAGGAGTTGAGAGTACTTCCCTCTGGGGCTCAGTACTCACTTCACCCTCAGGGACAAGGGCTCAGTACTCACTTCACC